ATTAATTCAAATTTACACAAGTCTTATGCACATAAATAACTAAATCGCAATGAAACAGTTGCGTTCATCACAATAATTTATGTTACGTAACATAAATTATTTTTAATTTCAACTGCGCATTGTATTACAATTGACGTATTAATGTTACAGAATGTTGAATGTATCGTCAAACTCAGCATTCTGTTTCCACGCAAAGGATGCCAGAGAGACGAGAGAGCATAGCATTTCTGATATTCAAGCATTTTTCCAGCATCCTACGCAGAATTGTGCCGTCGCACTTTAAGACGTTACAGACCGTTCATTGAATCAATACAGAGTTGCGAAATAAATTCTTCTCCTTTCAAAGCAGGAGATGATAGCACATATTCCAAGAATAATTTTGTAATTTTTATACATAAATGCTATTTAAACAACTTTTCGCTCGAAACTTTCCTAATACGTCTAGTTGTAATTAGAAAAAAGTACAATTTTGCTCAATTTCATTATATAATTAATATTCACAAAAATAGTAAAATTGCTTTCCGTATAATATCAAACGTAAAGAAAACTTTATGTGTATACACGTATTATTATATATATATGTGTGTACATTAGTTTTTTTGAAAAGTAAATGAATTTAAAGTGTAATATGATAATTATACTATAATCATACACACATAAAATGTACAACAATATTGAACCAAACAAAATCCTTTTCCACATAACAATTATTTTGTAATTAACATACAGTTTCGTTATATCGTGAAAAAGCTAAAATTGCGTATGGAACGTTTGTGAAAACTTGCCAGCTAGGAAAAATAAAAAGTATAACGCGTAGGAAAATAAAATTCTTGAATATAATAAAAATATTGAATAATTTTCCGCTAAACAAAGCAGAATGTATGTATGCAGGCGCAAAAAGAATGCAGCTAGTTTTTATTTTAAAAAATGTAGTAGCCATACAAGAAATACAAGAAATTTGCAAATATTTGCAACTAAATCTTTAGGTGTATAATAAAATAAAATTCTGTTAAATTTATTTTTAATAAATTTAATCAAAATAGAACGAAAGAAACATTAAAAAATATATAAATAAAAAATATATCTAACGATTTTAGACTATATGAAAATAAATTACATAGTTATTACCAGTTTTTAATTCTCCATACAATTTTTGTATAACAGAAAATTCTTTTACATTTTTGACGTGTATTTTTATTAAAGAAGAAAATACAGTAATTACGTTAAAGCAGCATTATATTACAAAAATTGTACGAAATTTAAATAACAATATTAGACGAACTGCAAAATATCTATTTAAGATCAATTTAAAAATTTCTGTAGAGGCAATAATATAAATATAACAATACATTTTCGATTAACAAAATATTGTGGTTCATTAATTAAATTATAGTGAATTAAAAAATTCCGAGAAATCTTTTTATATTTTGACTTTGCTGTTCCTGTGGTAATGTTCTATTATGCAACAATTTGTAACAAGCACAGCAGTGCCACGGTAAACAGTGCAGCACGCGCAGAAGCATATAAAAAGTCCAATAAGAGAATATGTTCCATGCGTTGTGAGCTTTATGCGTAGCATAAAGGATGCAACTGTGCAAACATATATGCGTGAAAGTTCTTCAACTGTACTTCGAGAGTCTCGATTTTCGCCTTGCAAAATGTATCTCCGCGACAATTCGTGCATTTTCTAACGCTGTACTGCATAATGAAATCTTCGATTTCCCGCAAATTTAAAGAAAAGAGAGGATTGTAGAAAACATCTGGTATAGCTCTGACAATGCTAGTAATAACTTATAATAAGAAGATTTAAAGAGCTCGGTGGACAGATATATGGCGAAATTATTATCTCACGGTCGCTCATCTTTGAATAAATCGCAATTCCCTTAAATCCAATAAAATATTTCACAAATACCAAAGTGAGAAGCATTCCCAAATGCATAAATATAATCGGCTATTCCAGTGACTGAATTCCCCCAGCTAAAAAATAAAATATCATCACTTGTAAAACGCTACGAATTAATTCCAACACCTAAACAATCTCAAAATAATCGTTGATCGTAGAAATAAAGAAAATAAAAACTTAAACATTTAAAAGCAACCATTGCTCTCTCAAAATTTGTTGTGCAAAATTTAAAAATTGTAACATTTAAAAATTTCGGAGAATATAAAATAATAAATATCCTGATATATAATATTTCATATAATGAATCTTGCGAAAACGTCATCGTCATGTACCACTTTATATTTAATTGATAAGACATGTAAATATTTGGTGTAGTACTTCTTATATTAAAAATACGAACATCAAATATTGTATACCGTTAACTATATTTTGAATTTTTACAAATTCTTTTTATCGATATCGATAATTTATCGGACCAAAAGAACGCGCTTTCACTTTATTATATAAATGATTTTATAAATACATAACACGTACGATTATATTTTTGTAACATCATATTTTAATATGCAATATTTTATAACATTCATACATCATATGAATAACAACTTGATTAATATGCGTTATGGAATTCATCACTTATACGTATTAAATGAGTGATTTAAAATTCACTTTATTGAGTTTGCGACATTATCAATGGAATGCAAAGCAACATACTTTTAATTATGCGAGTTTAACTTTTATATTTCGTACGACAAATTACATCCATGTTGATGACGTTGGAATGATAAACTAATTTCCTTAATGAACGACAAAACTTCTAATTCTATGTAACGTACATAAATCTCCAAAATGGAATTTCGCCAACCTTAATTTATCATACTGTCTCGAATCCAAATTTTTGAAACATGCCAAATTTATAACGACGTATAAACAAGTTTATCTATTACAATAATTTCTTATGTGGATTAGTTAATTAGAAACTCTTTACATTTCTTGGAGTGAAATTTCACTCTAAAAAAATGAAAATACTGCCACTATCAAAAGGGAAAAAGTTTTTGATTAAGAGTGGCAAATTTTCACTCTTTTCGAGTGAAATTTCACACTTTTGGAATGAAATTCGCTAAAAAAAAAAGTGAAATTTTTTTCCTTTAAAGTGAATCTCACTCCAATGAAAGAGTAATACAATCTGCCACTCTTATTCAAGTGCAAATTTTCCACTCTTTTTCAATAGTGGTAGTATTTTAATTCTTTTGAAGTGAGATTTCATTCCAAGAAATTTAGAGAGTATATCATTATTTACAATTATACAGAAAAATCACGCATCACTATTACATATACACATCAAAATGAGATACTGTTCAGCTAAGGATATTGCATGTGATGAACAAGTTGATATCAATTCAACGGCTAAAAGGATGATATATATGAATTGAATTCAATAGATGGATCAAACGCGACAGAGTTAATAACGATGATAAGGGAACTTTCAATGCCAGCTGTGCTGCAGAGATACACATATCTCTTTGAGTATTTTAACTTACAACATTTTATGACACAAATATAAATTACAGTAACAAAAGGATTATCGTAAATTTTATCAACAGAAGTCTATTTACGATTTTCTAAAAATTTCTAAATATTGTTACGTAATTGGTGTACTGTTCAAAATAATTTTATATTTAAACTAAGATTGAATTTGAATCTGTGAAGTAGTATTGTATTCTACTAATACTTCTAAAAAAATGATTACAATTCCAGTAACACTTTTTTTTTATTTCTACAGTTCTTTATAAAAACAAAAAAAGTTCTGTATTTTTTCTAAAGTTAGAACGCCATATTTTTAATTTTGGTTTTTTTAGTATAAAAATGCAAAACTTTTTTATTTTTAGAACTATAAAAAGTGTATGAAACTGTTATTATTATTTTTTTATATTAATAGAATGTCGTGCTAACTTCATAAAATCATAAATTGATATTTTTTATTAATTATTGATTATTGATTAATTATTGATTTTATTAATTATTGCCAGTTTAACAATATTGTTATTGCATAATCAAAAAAGTTTATTTCGTATCACTGTTTATCAAAATTAAATTATAATATAATCAGACAATTACAGATAAAACAATTTTATGAACAATTTCTATGGTTTCCGAAATTTAGTTAGCAATAATATTCTTCACGCATTAATTTATCATATATGCTGATTCAAATAATAAACTAATTTATAATAAGAGAGATTTAGTTCTTAAAAGTTCGAAATATTTTGATTTCTATTGTTAGAGACAAAAATAAACAATGGTAGTTGAAATTTGTAAATTAGAAATTATAATAACATAAAAAATATTATATTTTTTCATTAATTTTATTCCTTTTAAGCACTTCGTATAAAACGGAGCAAAACCTCATTTTTTAATACAACTGAATAAACGAAGCATTTCTATGGGTCACTGCTTTCAGAAGAAATTTTCACGTAAAAATACGCGGTTTAAAGAAAATATATAAAAGCATTTGCGCCAGTTCCAATTATGTATCGTTTGTAATTTTATTAAATTATGATAGTCACACAGAAACTGGAACATTATAGCGAAGCCTTTTAATTTATTCAATTGACAAAAAAATATTACCGCTGCCTCAATTATGTATATTGCACGCGCACATATGCAATTAGATTTAAATTTAAAAGTTTCGAAAAATTCTACAAAAAAGATTCATCAGATAATTACATAATATTCAATTGTTAATCACAAATACATATTGCGACTTTAATATTTTATACAATAAAGGGTAATAAAAATTAGTTTCCCATTATTGCTGAAAATTTAATTCTATCTCCGCATATACACTCATTCAAAGATGTCGCGAGAGAGTTAGAATTATTACAATTGAGCACCTCTTATATGCAGTTCTTGTATGTTTGTATTATCTAATGTGACATAATAAAAAAAGCAAGAAAAAAAGGCTTTCGACTTTCAAGGTACTCGCTTAATTCGCTCGTGCGTAAAGCTATGGCCCTGGATAACGGTAAGAGTGGCAGTCTGCCTTGTGCATGTGCGAAGTTTCGTGATACCGGATAATACCATGGCATGTACTTACATACTACGGTGAGATTCTTCGAGGCGGAGGCTGTGGAGAAGGTTGGCGCGTCTGCCGTAACTTCGCAGATGAATGTACCCGAGAGGCCGAAGTCGACATTGCGAAGCATTACCTGGCTGTTGTTCGACTTGTCGGGCTGAAACACACGTCCGCATAAGATGTACACAGCGAATAGGAATATCTATGTATCAGGCGCGACGGCCTAGGTTGTTATGCTGCGGTGAAGTAATGCCATTTACATGCGGATGTGATAACGTGATTCGATATAATCTCATTTGTTGAAAGATGTTACACATGTTGAAGAGATTAGTTATTTATTGTTTCGTGATTCGATGTCTGTACATAATTATTAATCGAATTATAAACATGGATTTCCTATTTGCCATTAGCTATTTTATTAGTTAAAATATTTTGTATTATATTATATTTTATATATCTATGATATAAGTAATTTTAACTATTAAAGATATTTAGCGCTGATAATAATTATTTTTTTTAATTTCTCATAAAATATAAAATTAGAATTTTTAAAAAGATGCACCGTTCTTTATTTCAGCAAATATTCCATGAATATCTTAGTTCTCGCGTCGAAGGATGTCTGGTTCACTTGAGGGAACAATCATCTTATCAGAAAATTATCGGACACTCAACTAAAGTGGCCCGGAAGGCCAAGCTGGTAGAAGTCGTGCTACGGAAATAGAGGTGAAGCAACGTGGTGATGGTGATAGGGACCGAATAGAGAAAAGTTTAATCAGAATAGGCAAAACGAAGCACGCATAATTAGCGATGCTTCCATAATGAAAGAGGAAGAGGCACGAGTGAACAGGAATACGTCAATGGTTGAGACCAAAAAAAGGATGAATTACAAGTTTTTTGACAAGTGGGAAAAAAAAGCGTGAAAAGCAAGTGAGCTTTCTCCTCGTTGATTTATGTGAACGAAGACGTGGAGTCCCCGGCTGACTTTACAGAAGCAGGAACAAAAGCTCAGCACGCCGCATGAGAGGAATAAATATGAAACCATAGCATTCTCACTCGGCGCTATCTAGGGAATAATCTCCGACGTGTAGCGTCTTGTCGTTCTCTCTTCCGACTGGCGATGACACTGATATCCTCGCGCGAGATACCCAATATTCGTGGCGTATGAATCGATCATTCGCAGGCTAATAACGTCCAGGATTAACAATTTTGCATGTCATCAAGTCTGTCAGATAAGCGTTACCAATACGTCATACGCATGAAAAATTAATGGAGCGCCAAAATTATTTAATCAAGACATCCAATAATAATAATGATGATGATAATAATGTTTTATTGACGTGCAAGATAATATGAATTTATAAACGTAAGTGCGATATAATTTAGAGTAATATCCGAAAAAATGAAGCATCAGAAGAAATAGTTGTTGTTTTAGAATCTCTCCCTTGTAACTTAATTCTTTTTATCTTTTCTTTGCAAAATTATATAAGTTTTTTTTCAAAATATATATATATATATACAATTATTGTAAAATTAAAACTGTTATTTCCCGGAACTAATAATTCACCTGTAATTACCATTTTAACGTTCTTTTCTTATTCCTAGTTTTAAAAAGACATCATCGACATAAAATCATTATTTGCGGTTTCTTTTATCTAAAGGATTCGATCGTGCGGTAACATGCCCATTGCGATAAATTGTCTTTTTTATAGACCGTTACTTGTTCGATACTTGTTTGAATTCCTACTAGAATGGGTTGCAACGATGTCAATATGCTGGAAACGTGATATCTATACTTCTCGAACGAGCGTCAGGACTTGGTTTGGTCGAGAATTGCAAATAGATATTGGGAACTAACCGACGCGACTTCGGGCACGACATTGTGAAATAATGGGTCAACGCTCGTAGGTCATGCGTTCTGTGGTTCTTTTTGCTTGCTAACTCACTCATCCGTTGTCTTTAGCGTCACAAAATTTCACAGTCAACATTCCACTGTAAATATACGAAAATCAATAAATATCAATGATTTACGAAGATTGATACGATGAAACACATCATGAAGCATGTTAAATATGTTTGATATGCGTACTAGCAAGCTTTATATTTCATCATGAATATGCTTTTAACGTACTGCATAACGTCCTGTGTTACAACACCTGCCTGAGCGGCGCTTTGTTGACTCGTGTAAATGTTTCACCGCTTTGACTTCGCAAACGCTGAGTCGAATTGGTTAACTCGATGTTTAGTACTTTCAGCATACGTGAGAGAATTTATGCGTACGTGCAGAATCCCAACAATAATCTGCTCTTTACTTGCATGCAAAATAAAATTTGTTATACGAGAACTTTCCGCGTGTTACAGTAGAGTGTGCGCAGTGTAATAAGACAATAATTCATGTTCGTAATCGTATAAAGGATCTATGATAACACGGTGGGAAAACAACGGAATAAAAATAATTTTTTTTCCCCTAGTCCTCCGAACACGCGTTGCTGCGAGCGTGCTAACAATTCATTTCCCAATATAAAGGGTCTATTAGATAAAACATATACCTGGTGTAACGACTAGAGTATTGCGAGATTAACACAACTCATGGAAACAAGGTACGCATCGAAATCCTGCCAAACGTATTTCCGATATAGATATCCGGGCAGGATACGCATATAGTAAATCGAATATCAGCCCGAAAACAAGCCAAGTAACAAAACAATTTTTTCGCAACCTTTCCCTCGGGGGAGGGGAGGGGGGAGGAGGAGGGGAGGGGCCAAACGTATTTTTCGAAATCGAGGCTTTTATATCTCTCACGGCAGCGCGGTGCATTACTTCCCGTTCGTCACTGGAGAACCCGCCGCGCGTGTACCATGTTTCGAAACGATAAACGTAAACGGGAACAGGAACGTGCGGCTCGTTGTCACGGTTTGTCAGGTCGTTCATTCGGCTGTACCGGAACACAACGGTACCGAGGGGCTTGTTTTTGGCGCAACGCGTGTGCAGGCGGCATGGCCCGATTGGCGGTCATCGCGCCACCCCGCAAACCATCGCGCCCAACGCGTGTAACAGCCTACGGAAATGTTCGAGCGATGATAAAAGCATCGTAGACCCAACTGTTTTACGGCGATTACAGCGGTCAAGGGTGTTGTTAACGAGACGCCACCCCGCAATTTGCGGTTTGCGTTACGGTAATACGATAAAACCGCATATTTCGTTGTTAGGTAACCCCAGCTGCGATTTGCGCAGCTCGATCGAAAAAGATAGCCGCAGTTTTGCAGACTCATTAGGACATATGCAAAAGTGTCCCAATTAACAAATGCTCCCTCCTACCACCCTCAGTCGCCGATCGTTAAGATCTAGAACATTTCGTTCGTTTTTACGATGCGCATGTTCACAATGTTTTAAAGGAATAACAGGTGTTGAGAAAAAGAACAGCGATAAAAAGAATAGGAAGATTAATGATTTATACGGCGACACAGAGATTAGTACTAAATATATTAAAATGTGATTATGCTTTCTTGTAAATCTTTTCACATTTTCTTATCAGATGATTTATAGTAGACTTAAAGGAAATATACTCGGATAAATTTTATCCCTTAACCATTAAAAATTTGCTGATAATATCATAGTACAAGAAATATGATAGTAGAAGAAATATTAAAAGATCTGATTTAATATGTATAATTACTAAAATTTTTCAGTATCAAAACAAATAAGTAAAAATATGATTCGAGTAAAAGTAATTCGAATACATTTAATTATTTATATCATAGATATGTTTGTGTTAAATATTCTTCCGCGTATTATCGTTATTCGGATTACATTATTTTATCCATTCCAACATATACCTATGTAAAATTACTGCTTATCGATCCACTTTCAATTTACATTTTGGTAATTGTATGTCAATATATTATTATCTATACAGAGAAATGGCTCATTTTATATTTTATTAACGTTTATTAAATGCCAAATATTTGCCATTTGGAATTCATATACTCGTTTATTTTATTAAAATTTTCACGTTATAATAAATCCTATTCATATATCCAGTTAAAAAATGTTTGCTGCAATTTTTTTTTTATTAACAAAGAATTATAATTAAAAAATGTTTCTCTTTTCTTGCAAAAACTCTAAAATTTATTTAAAAAAATAAATATAAAAATATATTTTTAAAAATATGTATTAAAATATAAATATATTTTAGGAAAATAGATATTAAAATTTGAATAATGAAAAAAAAATTAATTATTTGCAACCTATATCATTATGTAAAAATTGTAAAAAAAATATTACTTAAAAATTATTATTTGCTCGAAATGTTTACCTAAAAATATTCATTTATTTGTTCGTGCGTATAATTTTATATTTTATTTTTATTTAAAGAAAATAACATGAAAATATGATGGACTGAATTGTCTTTTGCACGTTACTATAAATGTATTTTGTTAATACAAAACTGTATTAAAAATGAGTACAATACATATTATTTTACTATTATTATATGCATAATATTACTGATTACAATATTGAAAATACGTCAGCAATAAGGGAATTCAGTCCGAAATATGAAATGTTATCGGAGATCTCATTTAGTGACTTACGTCGACATTAATCCCGGAAATGTTGAAGGTCTTGGTAGATGATTCCTCGGTGGGTGAGAATCGGTAGAATTCGTGCCTGCCTCGATACCACTTGAGGGAGTAGAGTGGCGCATTCTCCAAATCATAATTGCACTGCAGAAGCACCTTCTCGCCACGTTGCACCACCTCCGGACTCACCTCTAGGCTGACCCCCCGCAGGCAGTTCGCACCTTTCAGGAAAATGAGAACAGGAACACAGGGCATTAAGTCTAGTGCGCATCATTAGTTCGCTTTTACTCGTCGCGCGAGAGGTTGCACAGCACGCGTCAGCGAGAAATTGCAATTCCGCCGAATGACAATTTCCCTCATCCTCCCTTCAACCTCTCTCGCAACTATGCATGCAACCGCAAACACACGCACGCGCGAGCTCTCACGTCCACGCGGCCACGTACCTGCATACATATATTAAACCCAGCCCCATCTCGTATCCCAACCATTTTCGCATAACCCATACTAGATGTTCTGCAAACTAACCCTCGCACTCGAACGAGCACGATGTTTTTTGCTGAAACTCCGTTATGCGAGGATTATCGACAATTCGACCTATTAAGCCGCAGTCCGCAAGGAAGCCAAGCGTTGGATAGCGTTCATATTAAAATGTGTGTATGTACTTCTATGTGTGTATGCGTGAGAGAGGAAAGGGAAGAGAGAAGAGGTCTGCAACTCCTTGGTGCAGAATGAAGCTCTTATTACGTAGTACCTCCGGGCTACACGGAAATGGGTACAGTCTACAAGCCGCGAATAGGAACAAAACTCTGCGGGGTTACTTCCCTCCTCAAAAGCATCAGGAACATATGCTACGCTATATGTAATATTTTAGGAAATGTGGCACTTTGTACCTACTACGGACAATGCACGTTTTCACGCCCATACGGAAATGTATTTACACATCGATGGAACGTGTAAATCTTTCGTCACATCCATTCTATTTATTATAACATGCTGATAACCTGTTCGTAAATACTCCTGTGCTCTGTATCGTATATCGAATACTAAATTCTTATAAAACATCTTAGAAAAACATGCTTTCAAATATGATTGATGATTTCACATCATCCGATGTATTAAAATTTAATATTTTTGTATGTTTCCAAAGAAAATTTGATATCTCATTTTTACACATTTTATGTCACTACAAATTGCATGATATATTTTAATATTTTAGCCTTCATTTTTCGTAAATTGTACAAAAATTTATTATTTAAAATATGACATTTTACTACACATCATCATTATGAAATTATATTGTAATTATAGTAATTTATTTTAGTAAATTTATTATAATATATTACATATTTTTATCGTAATAAATTTTATGCAATAATATATATATATAATTATTTATTTTCCGTTAAATCATAATAATAATATGAGTAAAAATTAAAATATTATTTATATACATATATATACTTGAACTTCCAGTAAAATGAAAAGAAATAAAAATTAACATATTTCTGAGTATTTATATTATAAAAAATTAGGAGGTTTTTTTTACAAGAAATTACCGAACTTTCACATGAACACCTTTAACAGCACGAAAGATATCGAATAGATATTTCATTTTATATCAAATGCATCGAAGTATATTATTAGTTATGGCATAATTTGATTGCGCAAAACATTCACATTCGATATATTGGAATAAACTATATTTTTGATATACTCACAGAAGAAAAAATCTAAAGAAGTAATATCAGAGAAATGAGGTGAGCAGAGCATGGAGTCTCTTCATCTAATTCAATAATCTCTAAAAGTCACTAAAAGTCATGCATGGAAGTTTAGTAATTTTTTATAACAAACTTTTTTTAGTTTTCCTTTGCAATAAAAACAAGTAAAAATGTGTTTTTTTTTATTTCTCACCATTTGTTTTTAATATTAATGCTTCTCATTTCATATAAATTTGGACACAAGAAGTTTATAAAACGCTCACAATTAAATTCAGCATGAAAGTAGATTAAGTAAATAAATAACTCATTTTATTCGAGCGACTTATACCTACGCGGAATGAGTTTATTAAAAATAAGAACATCTGACTATGTTTAATATTGTACACATGTTACACTAAGTCCTCAGAAATGAGAAAGAAACAGACGGCGCCACGTTAAATTGTGCTATATGATAAGAGCAAGAATGTTCACAAAAACAAAAATTATTAACATAAAGCAATCAACAATAAAAACATTGTTAACATAAAATCAAATATCGTATATATAGTTATTAAATTATCAAAAAATTAAACAATTTATTTATGTTAATATATATACCTATACATTAAACTTCACATACCTAATTCATTTTCAATAAATAAATTCCTCACGTATAAATATCCAATGTAAAAAATTCTCATTCTAACTTGTACATAATTATAAACTATTAGAATACGGAAGCAAGTGGATCTTTGTCAATCAGATACTATTTTTGTAATAAGACTTCTGAATTGTCTTGTAAACAATTTTACGACGTCGTATGACAAAGCGTTTTTCATACAGTCCAAGGAATGTCAGTTAAGTTCCTTGATGGCAAAAAGATACGAATTTCCCCGTTTACTACGAATAAGACTTGGAGAGTTGAGAGCTTTTTCCTGCTTAATTTTCGTTTGAAAGGCATCCTGAAAAATGTGAACCGACGTGACGCCAGTTTTAAGTTTCCAGGGACTTCTTTTGAAGGGTGCAATACTTGCATCCCTCGTTTCCCCTTGCTTTAGTTTCGTACTGCCAACGTATCTACATTTAAACTCTCAAGACCCCAGCTAGTTTTTATGCTTTCGGTAGTGCCACTTCTTACAACTAATTATTCGTAAAGAAAGCTAATTTAACGAAACACTTAACGTTTCAGCAATTTTCTTTGAAAGAAGGAAATGCACGCCACGCAACGCGAAATTACCTCGCTTGCCGACGTCAAATGGGACGATGGATTTTTATACTTTCATAAAGGCGCTCGTTTTTACAAGCAGTAGAAGCCAATACGATAACGGTAGTATATTTTATGAAGTAAATAAAGTCGGTCCACTCTATATCGGTTGTGTTTAGTATAATTTAAAGAACACGTTTAATACTTATAATTTTTAAATTATAAGGAAAAAACTTAAAATGAACTTTTGAGAGACAAACTGAATGAACTGATTTAAAAGAAATATTTAAATTAACAGCAATAGAAATATTTAAATTAAATGCATCGCAAGATTACGAGTAATAACAGTTTTGTGAAGCAGCAAGGTACGGATACATTTATGATGGATTTATATTTTAAAACTGAAGAGCTTTTGTAGGAGGCATAGCCTGCAATTACATGGATAATAAATCCATAGGATAATTTTTTTTTCCAATAATTAGCAAGTAGACTTTCTTTCTGATGAAAGGAGGTTGCATTTGTTCTTTTTGTTCGCTGCCATCATCCCATCGCTTTCCGCTTTCGCCAACTTCGAAATTTATAACAAAGTTTTAACAACTCGTCTTTCCTGTGTTGCGAGTAAAGAAAGTCAGGGATCCATCGCATCGAGAGCAGCGTAACGAAGAGAAATGTGAATTTGAATATACTTAGCCTTTAACATCAAAACTCCGGATAAATAGTGATAATTTGAGCGAATATATAAAGATTAATCTTAGTTTGAGAATGCTTAAATAATAGTAAAATCATGTCTGTCAACTAAATATCACATATTTAGAATAAATTAATCAACTTTGTAAAGATTATTATTATTATTTAAAGTGTTATTATTAACATATTTTCTTAATAGCCAAATTTTGTTTTCAATTTTTGTAGTAACGAATTGTGAACAAGTTTATATCCATTCGCATTATCGCTATACAAATTTATATCTCTTGTATGATTGTTTATTATTATTCAGAATAATGCTAATACGATCAACTTTAGATTCTAGTGATTGTAAATTTATGTTTGTTGAAAATATCAACAAAACACACATGATAAACATATAAGTCATAAATGAACGTTCAGTTACAGTAAACAATAACTTGATATTTGATTTAATATGTTTATGTGAGAAACACTGATTTACATGATTATCGCTAAAAGATTATTTATAACTGATATTCGAAACGTATCGGTTACAATTAATCAACATTTCATCAAAACTGGTTTTTCAATTGGTTTAAAAAATCTGGTTACATAGGCGTTGATCAAAATATCGAGCGAAGTTACACGTACATGCTAATCTCACATTTGAAAAAGTAACATTGGTTTTTCCGGCCGCTGCAAACAGATTTGATTGCAATAAAATTACGTCGATTTAACCGAACGGAAAGATTATCCCGGGTATATCGTTTAAAAGTAAAATCTACCCATGACATTTTTCGCGCGGAGGTATTAAACGGCGCAATCAACCCGAGTAAAACCATTTTCGTTAAATACGATCGACGCGATTTGCGAAAGCCGTTTCGACGGCTTCGGCAATGAGTTTTGCGGTACAGACAGTTTAATGCTGGGGGTGCGCCATCCCAATATAATTCCAGCACGATTCCCGAACGTTTCCGTCGCGGGCGGATCGTCGCGTCTGTACGCGAACGCGCCTCGGGCAAATTAAGTCCCACTCGTAACTACGAACGGTTGCGATCAGAATTGCAAAGTCCCGTGTATACTCTTCCCTTGTGTCTCTTTTCCATCGTCCCGGCATGTAGCCAAACCCATGAGACGCGTTATCACGCGCGAGATGTATATACTTTACGACACATTGCTACACGTTACAGAAATCACAGACATACGCGACATCACGTCGATTCACCTTTTCGCCATGTCAACTACGATTTATCTGTAATAAAACAACAGCATAAAGATGTTAGACGATTTTATTAATGAAAATTTTAATATTATTATGAAGCAGTAATCGTGAAAAAAAAAATCTTTCTTTACAATTTATATTTTAAAAATCTAATATAGTTATATGCAATTAAATCTTCTAAATTGCTTGACTAATTGTAGACTTATTAACTAAAAATAAAATTTTGTTGATCTAATAATACTTTTGAAATCTCCACAGATATTTTCACGGTTATTAATAAAGTTATGGTTTATGGATTATCTCCCCTCCCCCCTCCCCTTTCCCCACCTCCCTCAGTAATATATTAGATCATTTAAAAAGTATCCGCGGTTTTTTGTTCAATTTTTGAATGAAAAAACCGCGGATACTTTTTAAATGACCTAATATCTTTAT